ACAAATATTAATATTAAATAATAATAAAATTATTATTAATAATTAATAAAATCAAAATATTTTTTTAATCAAAAATCAAAATAATTTTTTTATTATCTATAGTATTTTATTTTATTTTAATTTTTTTTAATTAAAATTTTTTTAATCAAAAATCAAAATAATTTTTTTATTTTCCTATCTATAGTATTTTATTTATCTGTAGTATTTTATTTTATTTTAATATACATTTATGCAAAAAAGAATAATCTTGAATATGTACAATAAGAGATTTATATAAATAATTGTAATAATTTATATTATTTAATAAATTAACCATGAATTGCAGAACAATTTTTAATAGAATTGGATTTAAATGTTTCTACATTTCGTTGAATGAATGTAAGTAATCGCTTAATCATAATACGTGGTGTCCATATGAATTCATAAGGATAGTTTTTTACTTTTTCTCTATAAACAGTATCCTGTGATGTTATATGATATATTGAACATAATTCAATAGTAGGTGGTTCTCGAGGAAATCCTAATGGAAGATGAATATACAATACTGCATAGAAGTCATTTTCACATAGTAAACATGATACATAAGTATATTTTATACTATCAAATTCTAAAATAGCTTCATATTTTAGAAGTAAAAATGCTGCTATATACTCTCTTCTTTTTTCTAAACTTTGAATAACTGAGTTTACCTACAATAAAAATATATTTTATAAACAATAATAATAAATGAATTAATAAAAATTACCTTTGCTGCTATAAATTTTTTTATTTTTAATAAATAATGTATTAAATGTGTATCAGATGGAAAATAAGGTACATATAATTCAACTATTTCACTAAGAATTCCTTCTAAGGATTTTGAAAACTGCAATTGTGAAGTAATACGATTCCAATCTGTTCCAGAAAATGTTACAAGAAGCATTGCAACATCACTCTCTGATTTGCAAGTGCGTATTTGTAACTGAGAAAGATCCACTGATAAACTTATTAAAAATCTTGCTTCTGTTGGTTTAGAATTAAATGGTAATAATATCATTTCAATATCTTCTTGTCTGATTTCTTGCGAAGTTATGAGCATATTATATTCTATTTGTAATCGAGCTTGTTTTTGAATTAATTGTATCTAATTTAGAAAAATATTAATTGATTATTAATTAAGAAAAATTATTATTAATTGAGAAAAATATGTAAATTTAATATAGTTTAAATGTTAATAAATTTATAAATAAAATATTACAAACCTGATGTTCCTTATAACATGATAAAAGTTCTTTAAGAACATTCAATAATGCATTTTCATCATTGGGATTCCATTTAGCAAGACTAGGTACTTTAACAGATAAAGTATCTACATCTATATCTGCTAAAAAAGTATTATCATTAAATATAAAATCAGGGCCCATTTCAGGGCATTGTGAATCAAAAAACACATTCCATACTAAATTTTGTTTAGCATATGGAATAGATAATTTAAAACGATCTCCTTGTTCTTTTCCACAACTAGATGATAAAGAATCTATCTTAATTGTCTCACAACAAACCCCTTGTAAAAAAAGAATTAAAAAATAAGTTAATATAATATAAAATTATAATTAATATAATATAATATAAAATATATATTTTATGTATTGCAACTAACCAAGTTTTTCTGTCGATAGAACGCGAATTAAAAGTGGTTCAATATATGAATCAATGGCAGTTAATATTGTACATTGTTGATTTAACATCGTAATAATTCTTAAAGAATTTTATAAATTATAATATATACTATATAATAAAAGGAGAAAATTTTTTTATAATATTTGTTATATATATATGTTCAAGATTATATATTATAAGAATCTTTATAAAGATAATATATGTTATGTATATAATATTATTTTATTAAAAGATTTTGTTATTTTAAGATAAAAATTTTTAAATGCACATGAAAACGTTTGTCTGATGTTTAAATTAAAAATTTTTTTTCATTATAGTACTAAAGCAATTCAATTAGTATATATGTATTATATATATATAATCATATCTTTTTAATGTACATTAATGATATTGTTATATTAATGATAATAATATAAGTAAAATTTATGAGTAAAATTTATTAAAATTTGATATAAAATCATTTAATATGATTTAAAAAAATCATATTATATTGAAAATAAATTTACTAGATTATATTCTAGGAATATAAAGATATGTTGGTATTTGATCAAGATTTATTAGAAATTATCAGAAATTTGTCGGTTCAACTATTCTATTAACTTTTAAACCTTGATATTATTATACATGTTATCTTATATCTTGAATTTTTGAAATAATTTCTATATTTTTGATTTTGTCTTGATTTTTTTATAAATAATCTTAGACTTATTTGTTCTAAATTCAATGATTATATATTATATCTGAGTTCATCCAAAATAATGGAAAATTTTTTCATATGATTTTTTTTTTTAGATAAAAAAATGTAAATAAAATATATCGATAATTTAAATGAACAAATCAACACAATTATAGCAATCGTAAATAATTGATTATAATAATTCTCTATCTATCTCTATCTCGTATTTTATCTTCATCTTGTTTTATCTAATGCAAAATTAAATTGTTCATAAAATTGAAAAATAAAAAAATTTTTACATATTAAATTTTGTTATAATTTATTTTAATTTTTAAACGAAAAAAACTAAATTTTCTATCCGTTTTATTCAAATATTTTATATTTTATATGTATTTTTATTTCATAATATACTAAAAGATTTGAGATATAGGTTTCTTAAAAAATGAATTTTAGAATTCAATTTTTTCGTTCTTATTTTATTTATTTTTTATTTTAAAAATTATATTTCAACACTTCTGTTAGCATTATTAACTAATTTTTTAAAGAATTATGTAATTATTTTTTATTATTTTTCATGTTCAAATATCTTACTTCAATAGAAAGAAATTCTAAGTTCTAACAAAAACTCAAAAAATAAATTTTAAACGATATCTATATCTGGGATGTATTATAATATGGTAAATATATTCTATAAAATATGAAATTTTCATTTAGTTTTAAAATATGTACAAAATACATTTCTCTAGTGTAATATTACGACATGTAAATTATATGGTATTATTCAAATTTATTCCATAAATAACAAAGTGAATATAAGGCTACATATAAAAGTAAAACTTCAACAAATTAATATTTAAAAAAAAATTGAATCATTTTTTTTGTATTATTTAAAACATAAAATAGTGAAATAAAATGTGACATTGAAATATAAAAACTATTATAAACGCATACATTGTATATATTTTTATCATAATTAATATGTATTGAAGATTTATAAAGAAAACAGTTATTCATATATCCTATAAAAATATTACGTCCTGAGATAAAATAATTTGTAAATAACATTAACATTGATCACTTTTTATAATGTTGAAAATGATAGTAAATTTTACTTTTTTTTTATTAACATATAATTTTTATTTTCATTTCTATAATATCATAGATATTATACCGAATATTTAAATCATTTTTATAATTCTATTTGGTTTGAAATTTTTATTTTATTATAGACTTTTTATCTTATATGATACAAGTCTAATCCAGATATATACAACGCATATATTATTGGAAAATTGACAGACCACGTTTATTTTTGTTATAAAAACTTCTATGAGTTAATTCCTATCATGTAAAAAAGATATTAATTATGATATAACTTTAACAATAAATTATATTTCATAACTGCAGGACTTCTATTCTCTAAAAACATAAATGAAATTTATCACAAAGTTGAAATTTTAATAAAGAAATTTAAATCTAATCTTTTATATATACTGTTAGTACAGCATTTCTCTCTCAACATCATTATTACTAAAAGTCTGTTTTTTAAAACTTTTATATATCCAACTCTTTCTTTTATGAAAGTATCAAAAATATCCTTTCTGGTGTACATTTCCCAACAAACAACAAAAATGAAACGTCAGATTTATAATGAAACCATAAAAATTACAATTAACTTGTATAACATAAAGTTTCCCCGATTGTTATTCAAGGCTTTTGACTAAATTTCATGATATTCCCTTCTCCAAAAACAATATACAATGATCAATAACAGATTAGCCTAATTATCCCTAATCCGACTCAAAAATATAAAACTAAGTAAAATTTGTAAATATGATACAATTGATAGTAAGCTATAGAGTAGTAATAGATTAATTACAGATACATATAGATAATAGCATTGTATCGTTGAATCTTATGGCGATTTTTTAAGTCCCCTGCTTACAGTATAATCAAGGATTTAGTTCAATGTCTGCTTTTATAATCAAATTGAGTATATCTCATTCAGTCAAACAATTGCATACACCAACCAGCACAGTGGACTAGCAGCCATCTTGACTAGCTTTTTTTCATATTTTTTTCATTTCCATCCCCTTTATTCCCATTATAATGAGAGTCTTTGAAATAAACAAGTTGCATTGTGCTATTACAACTTCAATAGGTATAAATCAATCTCCAGGATGTTCAGGACAACTACGGTTCACTTGAAACCATTTATCAATACAACTGTAAAAAATTGTATTTTATTAATTTCATATTATAAATATTTACATTTATAAAAAATTATAAAATAAATATAAAAATAATAACTTACTTTTTATGGTATATACACAGGCAAGGTAAACGAGCTATAACATCTCCAGGCTGTAATTCTTCAAGACAAATAACACATTCCCCTTTCTCATCAGATAATATATCTTCTACAATAATAATAAAAAAATATTTTGATAAAATAAAATAAATTATATATATTGTATATATGTAAGTTACATTATGGAAACAAAAAATTTGAAAATAAAGGAATTTAAAATTGAATATATTAAAAAGAAATTATAATGCAGTATTTCATTATAAAGTTATATATGTAAAAAATTAAGACAAAAATGAAGTAATATTTTAAAGAAGTAACTATAATTATTGTTTTTAAATAAATGAATATTTAGAATATATTTACTAATATTATTTATAAATAATATTAATAATAAATTATTAATTAATAATATTAATAATAACTTATTAATAACAATAATTT